AGAGATTGAGAATTACCAGGTTTAGCATTGCTTAAGCAAAACAGTGGTGTTTGCTATTATTTTCCCCCAGGGTCTGAAAGCGCTTTGGTCTCCACACACGCGGCTATCATTGACTTTGGAATGTTCGAGAGCATAGCAAAGACTTCCAGAGGGCCGGTTGCACTCTCATCAACAAGTTTGAGGTAAGACAAAGCTCTACATTACAGACAGAGGGAACGCCAGGAAAATGACGGGGAATTCCTCATCCGGTGACTGATTATTGGCAAAGATGGCGCAGGTTACCACGTATGCATCTTGGCATTGGTCATAAGCGACGTTCTCGTATCTGATTACAAGAGATGGATCCAATTTTGTAGCATTATAGCAAACTGAAAAGGAACGTGATAAGGCTAACATAAGATGACTCTATTAGTTTATGTTTCAATATTCATTGTTGAGGTGGTAAGGCGCACCTAAGCCCCAGGCCTCGTGTTCAGTTAATATTGTAACATATATTTGATTGTAGAATTCTGATCATAGATATTATACACTAATGCACTTGGAATATTGCCCGCACACATCTATGCAACACAAGATCTCCATTTATAAAGACAACATTTGAGGCATCGAATCGATGGTAAACAATCTTGTGCTATCTTTCCAATGCAGATCATCAAGTGTAAGTATGTTGTCACATGCGGTGGGCTCTACTCCCGATAAACTGCCGAAATGTCTGGCTGCGATAAAAATCCCCGTATTGTGCCATTCCGTGGGGAGTACCTGCTTCTCAAGCCAGAGAAAAGGGATCTTGTGAAGACGAACATCTACCCTGTAAGTCAAAGTAGCGCATATATATACGCTATAAGTGTGAATACATACAAACATATACTCTGTATATCAGGATAGTGATAATATCTACTCTATAAGTTCAATTAAGGCATACTTCTGTCCTGTAACTCAGTAACATTACCATGTAATTCAGAATTGTGCCGATATATACCGTGTAAGCCAGAATATGGTGCATGTATATCTACCATATAAGTCAGAATAAAATGAACATCTACCCTGTAAAACTCGATATACAATGAGAACTGTCATGTATATTCATATCTATACACTATGTATATATATACTATATATATATATATATAATATAATATTAGTATAATAATTATATATATATATTGTATATAATTCTTTTATAATATCAGCTACTTGCACGTATTGCTCCAGGTTAAGTCGAGTGCTCGTGGAGTTACGTGCGACTGCATGACATAATAGCTGCTAACCTCGTGCGTTGCAGGTGCCTGACCCGAGTTTGCCCTTCCTCGGCGTTCACTTCACACCGAGGATGAACGGCGACGTGTGGCTGGGTCCGAACGCCGTGCTAGCGTTTAGGAGGGAGTGGAATACGGATACACCGGAGAATCAACGTGAGAGAGCTGGCAGAGAGCCTAAGCAGCCGGTGAGTGACTGCTGGAGCGACAAACGCAGTGTTGCGTGGTCAGTCATAGAGGGATACTAGATGTCCATCAAACAGAGAGATGGAAGGACCACTCTGAAGAGTTGGTTCAGTGGACTGACCACACGTCAGTGCTTTAATGCTATTGGTCAATATAATAATCACATGACTGTATCACATGATAACAAATACCTTACAATACGTTTATGAGACTACTCATGACTGTATCACATGATAACAAATACCTTACAATACGTTTATGAGACTATTCTGTGACAGGAAGTTTTTTCTGATCGCAGTGTTTGTTGTTTCCGGGGTAAATAGGAAATCCGTCGTGGAGAGCAATGTGATGATTATTGATGTACTAATTTAGAACCTCCAGGAAAGATGCTACATTGTCTGCGAAGTAGAAATGAACAATTTCTCATGATATTAAACTGATCGACTTCTAGAATGAATGTGTTTTCCTCTAGTATAATCGTTTTGATAAACTTTTTATAATGTTTACTGGATTATGAGCCACGTTAATATGTACAGGTTGTGCACTGTGTGCTTGTCCTGCTAATACATTGTCTCTCTCTGATATTGGATCTTAATCATATCGTACTTAGATAGGTATGCATTCATATGTGGTGGCTGTACAGTGTAGTTTCAGACAGTAACATACGAACTCATACCCAATGTATCCACGTGCAATATGACGAGGATTCAAGCTCAAAGAAATATAATGTAGATACGTGAGATATGTCTTCGTATGTGTTACTGTGTGACACTAGCTTGAGTTACGTTTCTGCCCTTATTTCTGCTGATCAGCTGTATGACAACGTAAGTATTACTGTCCGAAACTTACGTTTCTGCCCTCATCTCTCCTCGGCTGCGTAATTATAGGGGCCTTCAGAAGCTGATGCTGAAGTACTGGTGGCGAGGTCTGAACGAGTTCTACCGAGGTCTGAACACTACCGCGCAGGTGCGCCAACTGCAGAGATTCGTGCCGCAGCTGAAGCGTGAGGACTGCACCAGGTATTCACCATGTTGTTCGCTTTCTCTCGCTCGCTCTCTCACTCGCACTCTCTCTTGCTCTGTCTCTCTCTCTCTCTCTATCTCTCGCTCTGTCTCTGTCTCTCTCTCTCTCTCTATCTCTCGCTCTGTCTCTGTCTCTCTGTCTCTCTCCCTCGCTCTCTTTCTCTCGCAGATGGTTGTTCCTTAATACGTAGCTTATCATAATTAGATAATAAAGAGGAGTAAATGTGTAATTTCCCTTGTTTTAGTTTGTCGTGCTCCGTCTATTTTCTTCATCCTAGCCTTTGTGGAAACCTTAGACACGTCTTATTATTAGCTCTGGTCAATCGTTAAATTATTTTTAAAAGATGTGCGTAGATTGCCAGTTCACTTTCACTTTCACGTTTACTTTGTCTCATTCAGCTGTGCATCAGAGCGGTCGTAACAGTGGCGTCATCCACGCTGGTATCTATTACACACCGGGCTCCTTGAAGGCAAAGCTGTGCGTGGAGGGCATGAAGCTGATGTATGATTACTGTGATAAGCACAGCATCCCCTACAAGAAACCAGGCAAGGTAAGGGATTCGGTTCTTAAGGTATATGTATAATACCACAGGCACTTGGAGCATTTCAATAAAATATATAAATGCTAAATAAATACGAAATCTCTTTACTACCAAAGTCTTAATGTTTCTCTACTCTCCTTCACCTATTATTGCCGACAAGCCGTGCTGCAAATGCTCCAGCCACAGCAAACACATGCCCACCGCACGCACGCTGCTGCGCTGCTGCACGCCACTGCACACTTATACATAAATATAGAGCAGGTAGGAAAGCGAGATGCCAAAATTCGCTCGACGCTCGCTTGATTCCACACGATTACAACACAAATATTCAACCATTCTACTCCATCTTTGTTTCTATTTGAAGGCCAGTGTTCACTTGTTATAGCAACATACTGTCTGTGTTCGTAACCGAGCTGTGTCACGCGAAATCACACAACGCCTGACGAAATTCTCGCATTCGCTCCCGTTGCGCAGTTAATGTAAATGGCTGTCGGAATCAGGAAACACCTACCGGCACTCTTCCTGACGTCATTTTTGCGCCGCATTATTGCAACGCTCCACTGGCGGCTTTGACGAGGCTCATGCGGGAGTTGGAAAGCTGCGTGGTAGTTTCCCAAAATGCATTGCGCCGCCTATAGCCTCTGTACTTACAGCCATTTTATTTATTTGAGTCGCGCGACTATATACAATGCGCGCCCGAACAATGCAATACTATACAATGCGACTATACAATGCTCTACTACGCGTGCCCGAATGTACAATTCATCAGCCAATCAAACGGTGCAATTTTCAGTCATGTGACTATCATCATCATTCAGCCGGGCAGCTCAAACGCATGAAAAATCGACTAGTGTGTCCACAGCTTTAGCCCTTACACTAACCGTAGGCACATCTTATATATTAGCAATCATGAAAACGGTCACAGCTGGATGTCTAGACAATCAATATAACTGTTTGAGAAAAATGTAAATTCTCGAGTCGGTTCCTGGGGCTGGTTCACATGTTCTAAGTGTGCAATAACGATGAATCTTGGAGTTGTCCATGTACCCATATTTTTGGGAGCTGCCCTGCCCTATGGTTGGGTGTGATGGCACTGTAGTTCCTACTTTTTGAATAAAATCCATGAAATTGCGAAAAAGCATTTTATTATTCTAGCAAATTGTTTTTTGGAATTGATTTCATGCTGTGAGTAAAAATACATTGTTTTCTGATTTGGTTTCTGAGTAACGTAAATGAAGTTGGACGCTCGCGTACTATTCCTAGAACACAGCATGTTCAATCAATAGCCCGCTATTAGTGTTAACCATAAATGTGTTTGATTGAATGTAGCTGGAAGTATGCACTTTCAACATCGCTTGCAATGTTACAATGCTAGTCTTCACTTTGTGCGCTTTTTTATTGCAGCTGATTGTCGCAGTAGAACCACATGAGATTCCTCGATTAGATGCACTGTGGGATAGGGCCTTGCAAAATGGCTGTCAGGACTTGGAGATGGTCCCTGGGGATAGAATACAGGAATTTGAACCAAACTGTAAAGTAAGAAAGTATCGTCAGGGTTGACACACAAACTTTTATAAACACTAAACCTTACGGAAAATCAACAAAGAAGATTCAGGATCAGTCGCATTCTTAACGATGAAATAATTTCAGCATATTATTTACAATGTTATGTAGCAGCTCATGGAGACTAGATGCAATTTCTGTTAATGCACAATGTAAGTGATTGGTTTCTATCCCAGTACCAAGATTGCAACATGGTAGACTAGATTAGATTACCAGTTTTAGCATTGGCTTAAGCAAACAGTGGTGTTGCGATTATTTTCCCCAGGGTCTGAAAGCGCTTTGGTCTCCACACACCGGCATCATTGACTTTGGGAATGTTGCGAGAGCATACGCAAAGAACTTCCAGAGCAGGGGTGGCACTCTCATCAACAAGTTTGAGGTAGAAAAGCTCACTACAGGAGCAGAGGGAACGCCAGGAAATGACGGGAATTCTCATCCGGTGACGATTATTGGCAAAGATGGCCAGGTACCACGTATGGCATCTTGCTATTGGTCATAAGCTCGTTCTCTATCTGATTACAAGATGGATCCAATTTTGAGATATAGCAAAACTTAAAAGAACGTGATAAGGCTAACATAAGATGAATCTATTAGTTTATCTTTCAATATTCATTGTTGAGGTGGTATCAACGTGTCAATTATTATTACCTAAGCCCTGGACACTAACTCAGTATACTCATGCCCAGTACTAGCCACCTAGGCCTCGTGTTCAGTTAATATTGTAACATATATTTGATTGTAGAATTCTGATCATA